GATAATGTTATACAACATCTATATAATTCTCATCATACTGGTATTAATATTAACCAACATGATGGATAATCCTTGATGTTTATACCGTCATGATATGTATTTAAAACCCATGGTGCTAAGTTCACAGTATATTGGTGCTAATATTCACACCAACACAGTAAGAATTATATAAACACCGCATGATGTCAAATCCATATCGATATTTTTTAAAGTGTATGGTACCTTCCAGTAATTAAATTCTCTTTTGTATCATTCCATTATACTTTTCATTGTGTTTTGTTTCAACAACATGTCTAAACAATAAACTTAGAAAATAAGAATTTGCCTAAAAGAAATGACATATGTTATGAATGAATATTAATCTGTAACATTATAAATGTAATATCAAACTTATGCGCACAATAAAACGTACACGCCCTTCCGAATATGAAGCGACTGTCTTTCCGTCGTCTCGCCGTGCGGTTAATTAACAAACGTGGATACATGTGGAGAATATTATGCGCGTGTTCTCTGACTCATTAGTAACAAAGCGGGGCTTTAAACTTGTTTCCAGAACGATAAAGCTCTGCGGCTTTGTAATTCTGATAACGAGCGTATGACTAATCATTCTCGAAATTGTCGTTTGACGCTGTTCGCTTTTATTCCCGATGTCCAATTAATCGCGCCCACATTTTACATCGTGTCGAATAATAAAGTATGCAACAAATAAAAATTTTTCTATGCAGATTGAAGATCGAAAACAAAATACAAATCATCCTCAATCTTACACTCAATGTCATATAAATGATTCTTGAAATGTATTTCTTAAATTATTCTTGTATTTATTAAATTATTGTTTATATCATTTTAATTATTAAAAACACAAAATTCATTTACAAGTACACAACTCATTCGATTTTTTCCATTAAATGAAATACAAAATTTCGAAAATTTATGAACATTCTAACCTTCATGAATGTCATATTATTCTTTATGAGAAAACTATTAGGTGTTGGAATTAATTCGTAGCGTTTTTTAATGAAAGAATGTTATTTATTTCACATGAGCATTAAAAAATACATTAATGAAAGTACTTCCCATCACTTGTAAAACGCTACGAATTAATTCCAACACCTAATATGTTTAAAAAATTCAAGGAATTAAAACAGAGTTTTTACACAACTTCACGCGCCTCACATTATTCATCACATGGAATAATAAAAGATACAAAAAAATAGCTTTAAACATGAGTCAGTGTGAAGAAAAATTGTATACGCGAGAAATTTAAATCTTTTCATTAAATTTTCCATCCCGACGTGCTTCTTGCATCGTAAGCGAATATATATCGGAGGAAATGTGTCAAGCTATACAACTGAACCAAATTCACACGATAAGCATGATGCCTTCCTCAAACTCAGAGTACCCCTAATTAAATCCACCACTAATTTTACATCAGACAATGGGAATATTGTCCTCCATGTACCTTTACTTCGATTCACCCGATCGATTCGTGATTTCGTTTCACTCGCAGTCGCTTATATATATAAATATGTTTCGAGTATGCATGTAGGACTTGTATATCCTTACGGTATATCCAACTTCATTAACAAAATTATGGGGATCGAAATCTCAGCGGGGCAACTTAACTACATTAAGAGCTTCTTACTTGTTAAGTGCAGAGATAAGTACAATAATAAGTACATGCACGTACATTCGCGAGCATTCTTTATTTAAATATTTCGTATCGCGGAATCTTTTTCGTATATGAATATAAAATTCACTCATTTTTACGCAGGAATAAAAATATACAGAATAAACCGAAACAACGCAGCATTGAAAGTCGAAAAGAAAATTATTTTCAGATCTGTATTTAATTAAATTTCTGTTAATATTCTTTCTGTGTAAGAATAATTTTGTTCAAATATCTAAAAATTTAATTAAATACAGATCTGAAAATAATTTTCTTAAACCATGAATAATTATGTAGAGCGCTCAAACTAGTTGGAACGTCAAAACTTTTGCAACATTTCTCATCATGCTTGAGATTCCTAAGTAATTATTTTCATGGTCCGATAAATTATTATTTTCAGATCCGTATCTAGCCAAATATTTTTAGATAAAATTGTCCTTTCTGTGTAATAATACATCCATTTTAAATTTTACTATTTTGTCTATACTTTGTCTAAAATTTCTCCTTTCCTTTTTCGAAAAAATATCCACGTCTTTTTAGAACTCTAAAAAAACCCATTATTAAAATATATATATAAAATTCAGTGCAAGGTTATTTCTGTTATACCTGCCTCTATCCTGTTCTGTTTCTTGACTGCACTAAATTACAACAGCGCCGGATAAGACGATGAAATAAAAATGAGTTTCTCATTTTTAAACGCGTTTTTCCTTGTTATATATTCTTTCTTTCATCTAAAACCTTAAATCTTTTTATATACTTCTCTTTTTCGTATTCGCAATTTCCATATTCCCCGCAATTTTATAGAATATAAACCTCGCGAATATGAAGCTTTCTCTGTATAGATATTTCCTACTTCGCGAAACACACGTGAAAGCTTTCCGGAGAAAATGTATTTCGACTGACAGAAAGTCCCTTAGCGGGCATATCGCTACATATCCGTACCTTAATTAGACCAACTGCATGGAAAATGTTTTACACTACATTATAAATGTAACAAGGTCGAGATGCAAAGATACATGTGTAACTTTGCATTGTGTTGCTGACACGTGATAAAGAACGAAGAAAACGTGTAACATCATACCTATATATACGAGTACATTAGAAAGTTAGAAAGTAATAAGTTTAACGCAAAAATTAAAATTATTCGTCAAAATTACATTAATTCTTCATTATTCTAGAATGTCGAGAACACTCCCACTTATTCTGTTAAATGTATAAATGCTATTCATATACATTATTCTATTTAGCGTAAAGAAGAGTGCAACTTTCTCTTTTTTGCGATCGTTCTTCATTTTTCTTCATGAAAACCAAAAATTATCATAATAACTACATTGAAGGAAAAATTGGTATATTGCAATAAAGAATAAATTATTCACATTATTACGAAATTGCTGTAAATTTACAACTTTGTATCAATTTTTCCTTAAATTTAGTGTCACTTATTACCGAGACACTATCGTCTCGAAATAATTTTTTATTTCTATGAAAACAATATAGTATACAAGAAAATGTAAAAATAAAAAAATTCACAGTATGGTTACAAAAAGTTGTACCCTTCTTATTTCACAATTAAAAAAATTTTGGCATTTATCTTTATATAAAGGATTTATAGAATATTATTAATCTTTATTTAAATCGTATATAAGTCATCAGACAGAACAATGAAAATTGAGATATAATGGAGTGTCAGAAACATTTCAGACGAGTAATCGCGTTAAAAAAGTTATGCAAGTAACATAGGAACGTTAAACGTTAAAACTTTCGTTAAAATTCTTAAGAAATTAGACGCATAAGAAAAGTGAAAATGTAATATAAGATCGACCATCTTGTCGGAGGATCAGAGGAGAATAAGAACGTGCATAGAGGCAGGATAAAACATGGCACGCTTGTTCTTATCTCCGGCTGGTAGCTAATGCAACGAAATAATGAATCAGGGGATTATCTACGCTCGTAGGGCGTGCCACATGAGGGCTGCGAGTTTTCAGCATTATCATCGTCTCAGATACTCCCTCCCCTTGTGACTGGCACACCTGAATGCCCATCCGATAATTCACTCGATAATTCGAGTATCATTGTCGTGGCTAATCGCGATGCGTATCGTAATGTATTAAAGACGACGCGTGCTCGTCGACGTGAATAACGTGGGGAAAATGGAAGAGAATTATGCTCGCGACACATTGTCGGGCGTATCACGAAGAGCAGATAGCATTATCATTTATGAAGTTGGAATTAATTAGCAATTTAATCTAATTACATATGCGTAACGTAAATAGGTAAAATTACATATAATATAGTAAATGTACAGGGGTTCAAAGAAATAAATTTAAATACAAAAGGTTTAAGCCAATTAGAATAATCATCAAGTGTGTAAAAATTCTTTTGTATCATAAATTTTGAATACACAGTCTAGTGTTGGTTCTAATTAGCTTGCATTTAAAATTACTTATTTTCAAGATTAATATGTTATTTAAAATTACATATTTTAGAGCCGGTTGTTCCATCTTCCATATAAACTATGTGATAATTTATCTACTGGATAAACAAAAAAGTAAAAGAATGAAAGAGCGAGCTAAAGTTTACCGAAAGGTGGAATAATCTAGCCTTAAAGAGGTAATTTTATCTATTTACGTTAAGCCATAAATAGGCTATTTTTATGCCGTTGTTAAAAAATACAAGAAAATATACAAAGCCTTAGAATGTCAGAAAAATATACATTCTCTATCAAAAAATATATATCATTCCAATAATATTCATTTTACTGTACGTACAGTGCAGTCAAATTATTCTCGTCATATAATATGCAATTTAATTTACATAATAATTTATGTTGTATGCTTTAGACTTGTATTATAAACTTGATACTTGTACATGCGCGCGTATATCACGCGCGTTTACATAAATATATATAAACTGTATATTCTAGAGCTTTTATACTAATCTCATTTTAACCAAATACGAATTATTCCCGTGTTCGAAAATTAAATCGTAAATTCGTGAATTAGTAATTTTGGAAAGTAAATCGAACTGATTTTGTCATTTCAAAGTATAAATGTATAAATATAATCGAAAATAAATTTATTAATTTCGTAATATTTTTCATTTTAATACTGTATTATTAAAAAATATAATTGAGCGTTTTTTTTTCTGCAAAATAACAACCGTTGGCTCTTCGTTTACTTTTCTCTTCGTTACTCGAGCTTGCTATCTCAACTGTCAATTGTCAATATCGTTTTCCAATCTAAGACTTCAACTTATACGATATTCGTCGATATCTGTATTCTCTTGCGACAGACTACATGTCGGAGTTTCCCTTCAAAGTAAATTGACTTACCGGTGTGGTGTATGGTTGGCAGGCCAGTCTGATGCCGTCGTGTCTGAGCTTCTCCTGCAGCAGCATCCTCAATTGCATCCTGGGAATTCTCACCAGCTCGGCCTTACCCTCCTCGTACTCGTCCGCAAACTTTGTCAGCTCCTGACCGCCGCTGGAGGAGCTGGCCGTGGGCGACGCTCGTTGCGCCTCCTTATCGCTGGGTGGTCTGTCGGACGACGTCCTCGACGACTTGGAGCTGATGTTGTCGCAGCTGTTGTCGTTCGTCTCCTCCAGCGTGAAGTATACACTCGCAGCGCCTTCCTCGCGTAGAGTCTTCACCGATTGCAGCAGACGCGCGCGATGCTTCTGATTGAAAACGCCGATCGCATCGAGATCCGGATCGCCGATCTGCTTGCAGATCTCAAGGTCATCGTAGCCGTTATCGATAAACGACTCGGAGTACTGGCCGAGGTGGAGCGACCGCAGCCACTCGACCACAATGTTGCTTGCCATGGTCATCTTAACGCTTTCTCACGTTGTACGCGCGTGGGCCTCGCCGTGGGACTACGCCCCCGCTCGTTTGTTTCTCTTCAAAACCGTCCCGACGATTCCGTTTCGCGACGAAATCCCTCCTTATTATCCGCTGCACTCGTCGGCGGCTACTACCATCCCGCGAGGTCGCCCTCCAGTCGACGATGTAACGTCCATCGAGGGGAGAATCGTCGAAAGTAGATCGATTCAGCAAGTAAATCGGGCCCTCTTTCTCCTAGAGCGACATTCTCCTCTCACGATCGGCTGCGGTATTAACGAGGGTCGTCTCGTCGGGGGGGGGGGGGGGGGAGGGAGGTAGTTTGCGGCGGTCACGTTCGCCGCTTGACATGTACCGCTCCTCGGCTCATCATGAAATACACGGATGACAGACTCGAGATCGCTCCTCTCTTCTCTTCTGTCTCTCTCTTTCTCTCTCTGTCTCCCTCCCTTTACCGCTTTGTCGTCTCGTCGATATGCCCGGAGTGCTTTCCCCCGTTCGTTTCCGAGTGCGGATTCTAGCGGATAGACGCAAAGACGGAACAGCACTGCGAAGAGCCGGAGGGTGAAGCGTCGAATCTCGTTCTACTTCGCGCGGCGCGAGAAACATAGGCGGGGAAAGATTCGGGGGAGGAGAATTTAGAGGGATCACACACACGCGACAGTCAGTTCTTTCCGTACGTACGACGACAGCAGCCCTGAGTCTCGATAAATCCCGTCGTGCTCCGCACCTTTTGCTCCTCTCTGTGCGCCGGGACTCGTGGAAATTAATCCGACACGTTGCCGCTCAATGATGCGGTTTATTTCTATCCTCTCGTTTCCCTTAGGCAGTTTCTTTTTCCCCCAAATTTATTGCTTTCGCAATACTCAGGCATCAGTAAAGTTACACCACCGCGAAAATTACCAACTCGATGATCTACATCATCGGAATTACATGATCGGCGATCGATGGAGAAACGAGATGCTTCTTCTTGTGTTATTTTTCTCAGAATGGATGTCCAATCCACAAGTAGAATCACGATACAATGACTTGAAAACGGATCAAAAAGAGTGACCTGCCTTCTCGCGGAAAATGGAAGGCTCCAACGCGACGCACTATTTCATAGTATTTATCGTCTTCTTTTGTTATGGCATCTGCCCTCGAGAGAAGTCAATACGGTCAGAGATTCGCGAATAAACAGAAGAAGCGTTACGATATAAAACTGAAATACATAGCTTAATTCAGGACGTTTCGCGAATCAAGATTGTAGTCAGCACTTTGACGTCGGTACTTATCGTGACAAAATGAAACAAATCGCCAACTTCGGAGACTCGCAAGGTCCGACGGGAACAAATCCGGGCGATGATCGTTGACGAAGATTCGCGAAAGGTCCCGCGAGCGAATCCTGCCGTCAAATATCCGACGATGGAAGACGATCGTAGATCAGCGCGAGATCGACGTCGAGATCTCGATAAAGACGGACGACACGACGGATCCCTTCCGTTAAAAGCAACGAGACTTGGCAACGTCGGCGGTGCGACCTTCCGTTCGTTTTCTATCGCAACGGTTTTGAAACTCGCGCCACCGTCACTTAGGGCCTCGTTCACGCGACAGAACGACGAGCAGTCCGCCTTACTCCGGTTACTCGTTTCCGATAAACATTACGTACACAAAACGAATAACAAAACAAAATGAAAGTCGGACACGTTCGCCTATTGACGACGCGACGAACTGTCGGCGTACTTCGCCGGTACAATTTCTTCGAGAATTGCGGCTTCTTCCTTCGGTAGAACTTGGCGCAGTCACTCGCGACGGTCACGGTCGGCTATTCCACGCGTTGAAGTTTCCCCCTTTTGTGCACAGACACACGAATGGATTGGGACGCGAACTGGAAAACGATCGTTCGGTCGAACGCGCGATCGTTAAGATTTCGAGAAGAATCGAAAAACCACGGCGGCGACGACGACGGCGGCGGCGAACGAAGAAAGTTCGTTGGTATCCCTGACGCACGGGTTGCCCGATCGGCTCGCGATGTGCGAATCGAGATAAATCGCCGGCGGCGATAAATTGACGACGACGAGGTGAACGTGCCCGGTGATGTTCGCGATGAGCGCGCGTCGCTCATAGTCAGAACGAGGAAGACGTCATCTCGTCGTGGCTCGACGGAACGCGCGAAACACGATGCACTACTGCGCGACACTACCGCGACGCGGCACACGGCTCGACTGACACGAGAAACCCACCAGAGGGAGCCCCCACCCGTCTACTCTTCGCGACCACTCTATCCCCACTCCGCCGCCGGCACTGTCTCGTTTTCTCCCCACTTGCGAGATTTCTTGATCCCCCCACCGTTCCGCGAATGCAACGTGCAATTTTAGCCGGCGAGAGAGAGCGCCGGCGAACTATGTCAGGATGCAACAGCCGCCGGGGTGGATCGGTCTCGGTCTCGGTCTCATTTTGCGACACCGGGTGCGGAATCCTTATTCCTTGCGAGGAGGATCCCGAGGATCGGCTGTTCGCACGAATCTTCTGACGAAAATTTGAGAATTTCTGAATTTTCAAGAAAACTTTGGGGGCTCTTCTCTTAAACCCTGAATGAGAAGACTCTCCGCTCTCCGGCTTCTAAAGATTCTATCTCACTGTTCCGGGATTCTCTTCTAAGCTCACTTTAGACGATCTATAAATCCGCGTTAGAGATTTCAAGATAGAATTTTATTTATTGTTTTATATTCTATCTATGTAATTAATTGCATTTAAAGTTATGGCATGATTATATATGTGTATTCTGAGATTTTAATTAGTTTCATATTTTTACGGAATTATAAATAGAATTATAAATAGAATTCTGTGATAAACTCTGCTGTAAATTATAAATTGTTTAAAATGGATTTGTGTTTAGAATTATTGCAGTCCTTGTCAATATTTCAAGAAAATATTTTAACGATAGAAAATGTTTTCTGATACTGTCATTAATGAGAATGTTTCATAATACTGTTTTTAAATTTTTCTAGTACTTTAATAATATTTATTTTAAATAACAAAAAAAAATTCCTTTCGTTACATAATTGCGTTGCACAATTATATTAATGTTAGCTATAGAAAAAGTAGCTTTGTTGTAAGATTTTTTAATATGTTTAATTTACTTAGATCCAGTGAGAAACTAACAAGATCAATCATGAAAAATTTAATTTGCAATAATTGCAAAACTGCTTTTTCTGCTAAACGTAGCCATTTCAACTATGAAATTAACGATTAAATATATTGCTCCAAAATTTGATTAAAACTCTGAATACTGCTTTTAAATTTTTCCAGTATTTTAGTAATATTTAGTGTAAAATTTCTTTTATTACACAATTATATTGTATTAACGTTGGCTACGTTCTACAGAAAAAGCCGCTTTGTTGTAAGATTCTTTAATGACTAGTTTATTTAGATTCAGTAAGTAACTAAAGGTAAAAAATTAATCATATTAAAGAACTTTACAACACTCGCAAAACTGCTTTTTCTATTGAACGCAGCCGTTTCTATTATAAAATGTATTAATGGTTTAAAAAATGAGATTATGGCTTTAAAATTTGATAATATAATATGATTCAGAATATCATATTATATTAAATAAATTTCGACTTCGACTTTTGCGCGAAAGGATCAAATTAAAGAATAGATTTTAATATAGACAGCGACGAAATCCGCTTATCGTTATCGGTTTCCGTATTAAAATGGCAACGGTTTCTTGATTTCACAGACATGGAAGACATGGAAGACATGGAAGAGAGAAGCGGAAAAGGTATATATTCTTTCGTTTCTCTACAAGCTCGTTCCACCGCGTTGCGTGATCGTTCAGAAAACACTGTGGTCATTGAACGAGAGTTAGTATCGATGATTATCTGCGACAATCGTAATCAATTTCTTTGTCAGAACGACGACATTTATAAATGAACGCCTAACGGCAATGGTACAAGGCTTGTGACCCACGAGGCCAATAATCTGCACTGCTGCCAGTCAAACGGCCGGGCACGTTCAGCTCTCTATGTGCTATTATATCACGCTCCAATGAAACTGGACTGCACCGAATGCGATAGGAACGGCAATAATTCGAGGGTCACGTGATTACCACTTCTTCCCTTTTTCCAGGCAAAAATCGAATGTTCCTCAAAGGAAAACTTTCCGCGAAAATAACGAGTAAGACAACAAAAACACAATCATATATTTAACAGCAAAAATACGAAACATTATTGTTTATTAATGAAATTATTATAGATGATCGTGTAATTTCTTAAAAAGTAAGAAGAGAAGAGAATTAAAAAAAAATATTTACATGCAATTACATGAAATTTGCCGGATTTAAGTAACGTAAAATAAATTTCAGTATATTTTATTTGGATGAAATTTCAGTATACTTTTTCATCGCGATAAAGAATCAAATTTTATTAAATATTTATACGGAATTTTTTAATTTATAGTAAAAAGTAATAAAAATGAAAACAGTGGAAACTAAAAATAATTGATAATAGTTTTATTAATTGTGGTGGCTACACTAGTCATTTTATTTATAAAAATAAATGATACAACTCAAAATATAATATTTTATATATGTGTCTCACTTGTATAAAGTATTATGGGCTATCTAGAACTGCCGAGTATCTTTTCTCGGAACATGTGTTCGATTCCGATCGATTTCTGTCAAAAAAACTGTCTCGTGATCGCGGGCCTCCCCCCCCCCCCTTCGCGGGGGAGAGCAGGACGCCGACCACGTGCGATCACGAGATTCGCGATCCGCGTGCCCAAATATGGTAATATAATAAGGGGGACGCGAATGGAAAATTCCCGAACTCGGAAACTAACGGATTTTTCCGTGATCACCGTTAGTTTCCGAGTTCGGGAATTTTCCATTCGCGTCCCCCTTATTATATTACCATATTTGGGCACGCGGATCGCGAATCGCGAATCGCGAATGCTCGAGATCGAACACATGTTCGACACATGTTCGACACATGTTCGACACGTGTTCGACACGTGTTCGACACATGCACGATCCTGTAACTAAACGGCAATGCAAAAATAAGCCTACATAATATATCGATTAA